TCTCTCTCTCTCTCTCTCTCTCTCTCTCTCTCTCTCTCTCTCTCTCTTTTCTTTTTTGAGATGGAGTTTTGCTCTTGTTGCCCAGGCTGGAGTGCAATGGCACTATCTCGGCTCACGGCAACCTCCACCTCCCGGGTTCAAGCGATTCTCCTGCCTCAGCCTCATGAGTAGCTAGGATCACAGGCACCTGCCACCACGCCTGGCTAATTTTTGTATTCTTAGTAGAGATGGGGTTTCTCCATATTGATCAGGCTGGTCTTGAACTCCCAACCTCAGGTGATCCGCCCGCCTTAGCCTCCCAAAATGCTGGAATTACAGGCATGAGCTGCCGTGCCCGACTTAGTCAAGCATTTTAATTTTCTAATCCTGCCATTGTTGTTTCCTATGGCAGTTGTTAACTATAAACCTAGCTTGTCCTGGAACCAAGCCTCTCCTTGAACTTTGGCTGATAATTGTGCCTGTGTCAGGACTGACTAATAAATGCTCTGTTTGTTTCCTTCTCTGCCCCAGCCTTCCCCTGCAAACATGATTCCTGCTTCTCAGAAAAAGAGGAGCCACAAACTGGTTACTTGAACTGTGCCATGCCTGCAAGTACTGCCTGAGCTAACCTGGGCACCTTCTGATTAGAGAGTCACCTTAAAAAGCTCTGTGACCCTTAAGGAAATAGTTGGACTAAGGGTGAAAAAGAACATCAGAACTCCTGATAACCTTTTAAATATTAGTATATATAAGAACATAGGGCAGGCACAGTAGCTCATGCCTGTAATCCCAGCACTATGGGAGCCCGAGGCGGGTGGATCACCTGAGGTCAGGAGTTCAAGTCCAGCCTGGGCAACATGGCAAAATGCCATCTCTACAAAAAATACAACACTTAGCTGGGCACGGAGGCACGCACCTGTGGTCTCAGCTACTCTGGAGGCTATAGTGGGAGAATCACCTGAGCCCGAGAAGTCAAGGCTGCAGTGAGCGGTGATCACACCACTACACTCCATCCTGGATGACAGAGTGAAACCCTGTCTCAACAACAACACAAAAGAATACATATTTGTGGATATATGTAATACACATTTATCCATGACTTTTATCACACTTCATATATCCCTGGTCTACACCTAATCGATTAATAGCTTTTACAATAATATTCCTATAAACCACAATTTATCCTGTATGATTAACTTGAAACTGAAACCTTCACTCAACTTAAGGACTCACAATGCATTACATATACTTTTATCTTGTAATTAGAATGAAGTATGAAGTATATAATGCATGCTGGCAAGGAATTGAAAACTTGTTTGTTTTCAGATTATAAATTTATTCCAAAACCTGCAAACCCTTAATAGCACATGAGTACATGAAGGCCACTAATACTCTAAAAATAGCACCTGGTCCCTGATCCATTTATCTTCCATCCTCCATCTGTACCAGAAAAAGGGAACAAAGATGTTGAATTTATGGCCAGTTCCTCAAAGGTCTGCTGCTTCTTGATAATGAGCAAATTGTTCTTTTCTTAACTTTGTTCTTACTGTTAGGGTAGTGTCCTTGCTCTAATTTTGAGAGGAAACTAGAATTCTAACTGTAAAATAAAGGTTCTTGGCTCCTCTGATACATATGGCATCTAATAATGTAAAGGACCCTGACACTGGCCCTGTCTCCTAGGACCCCCTCCTTTCTCATAGAATCCAGTACACTGCAGAGATGGTAGGGATGGTACCTGCTGTGCTGCTGATGTGATCGCTCCTTCCAAAACGTCCAGATTACGATTCATTAATGCCAAAGCCTCCTCACGAGACACTGGTGTTAGGGTGACATTGGGCAATATCACTGCATGTTCATAAACAGCTGCAGTGAAAGTGTCCTGGCAGCTGGTTCTTGAGACATAGAGAAGCAAAATTGCCACATAAGCCGGCAACTGAGTAGTCATGCTGAAGTCCAATGACTGCTGAAAAACAGAGCATGTCCTGGTATTTATAGAGAGAAGACACGTGGTGTCCAGAGTTAGTACCTTAAAAATAAACTATGGAAGTTGATTAAGAAAACTCTATGATTTCACAGCATTGTTAGTTAACAAAGGACCCTCCCTTATTGCAGTAATTTGAGAAGAGTAAATCAAGAACTGTATGTACATTATTTCGCTAGGGCTGCCTAACAAAATACAATAAACTGGGTGGTGTAAAAAATAAAAAATTTATTGTTTCGTGGTTCTGGAGGCTAGGAGTCGCAGAGGAAGGTGTCAGCAGAGTTGGTTCCTCTTGAGGGCGGTGAGGGAAGGATGTGTTCCAGGCCTCTCTCCTTGACCCATAGATGGCTGCCCTCTCCCTGTGTCTCTTCATATGATATTCTCCCCATGTGTGTGTCTGTGTCCAAGTTTTCCCTTTTTATGAGGACACCACTCTCATCTTTAACATGGGGAAAAGGAAAATCCCAGCTCTAGTTTCTTTTATCGTTGTTGTTGTTGTTGTTTGTTGTTGTTGTTGTTTTGAGACGGAGTTTCACTCTTGTCACCCAGGCTGCAGTGCAGTGGCACAATCTCAGCTCACTACAGCCTCCACCTCTCGGGTTCATGCGATTCTCCTGCCTCAGCCTCCCAAGTAGCTGGGATTACAGGTGCCTGCCACCATGCCCGGCTACTTTTTGTATTTTTAGTTGAGACAGGGTTTTTTCATGTTGGGCAGGCTGGTCTCAAACTCCTGACCTCAGGTGATCCACCTGCTTTGTTTTTATGCCAACTAAGGGCAGAAGAAAAAAGTCAAGTGAAGGTCATAAACCCAGGGGTACAGGCCACTAAAAGACTGAGACTGAATCATAGAACCCATTAGATTTAGTGCCCACTGTACTCCAGTATAACTTCATCTTAATTAACTAGATCTGAAATGACCCTGTTTCCAAAAAAGATTACATTCTAAGATACTGGCAGTTAGGACTTCAACTTATAAATTTTTGGAATTCATATATTTTGGAATGTCAGCACATAGACGTTCAAATAACTTTAAAACTTCTATTATTATTTTCATGTGAATATTTCAGCTCTACACTTTGATTTGCTTTTGTTTCCTCAAAATGGGGAAGCCAGGACAAAGAGGAATACAGAAGAGTTACTCATTTTCTATTGCTATATAACAAATTATCCCCAAATTCAGCAACTTCAAAAAGCAAACATACATTATCTCCCACTTTCTGTGGGTCAGGAATCCAGGGGCAGTTTAGCTGGTGCCTCTGGCCCAAAGTCTCTCTCACAAGGCTGCAGTCAAGCAGCCTCCAAGTCTGGTTACACCAAGGCTTGACTCCAGGAGGATTCACTTCCAAGCTCCAAGTTCCCTCATGTGGCTGACAGCAGGGCTCAGGTCCTCATTGGCTGCTGCCCAGAGACATGAGTTCCTAGTGATGCAAGCCTCACCACAGGGCAGCCAGCACTATGGTATCTGGATTCCCTTAGAGGAGAGATTCCCAGAGAGCAAGTGAACCCACTTGACAAGGAAGCCATGGATGCTTCGTAATGTAATCGGGGAAGCAACACTTCATCACTTTTGCTGTATTCTATCCAATAAAACATTAGGAACCAACTTTGAAGCTGCTTATCACAGAGGCAACAGAGGTGTACAAAGAATGAGAGCAAAAACAATAAAATAAAATACTGAGAGCTGGGGAGGGAGATCCAGAGCGAGGAGAGGGAAATTATAACAAATAGAAAAACTGTTCGTAGATTTTGATACTAAGTTGGCAAATTTTGTTTCAGTTGTGCATTAAGGGTAATATTTACAGAATTAGTGTTTATGTTTTTCCGTTTTATTTTTAGATCTGTTTGTCTTTGAATGGTATTTTCATAATTCAATATGCAAGCACACCTATCTAATTTTTTACTTTAGTAACTATAATGTATTTATTCTGCAATTGCCAAGGTAACCCAGCGGTTGTGGTTGGCTGGTCCTCCTGAGTCTCCGGTAAACACCAGCTTCTCTGACTGCTTGCTGACCTCTTAGGGCCTTTTCATGCCCAGGTGGGTGGCAATACCACATATTTCACAAACAGATGTCATTATTATGTAACAATTTATAAAAGGAAGCACTGAAATAAAAGTTAAAACTGAGATGAGTTGCCAAGAAGTTAAAAAATTACTTATTTGCCCTTCTTAGATTAAAAATACTGAATCTCCCATGGAGTTTCTAGTCCAACTCATACAGAGCTTGGCAGTCATTTTTCCCATGCTCACAACAAGAAAAAAGCTAAACAAATGAAAATCAACAACTTTTCTAAGATGCATCAGAGAACTGAGATCACAGGACAAACTGCGGTCCTCAAAATTGAAGAGACAGGCAAACACAGAGGGTAAGAGTGTACTGGGAGCAGAGTCCTCTATGGCTGGCGCCAGTACCATGGGGTCACTTGAACTGTAATTGACGAATTGCTGGAGGCTCAGGGTGGACAACCTTGAGAGTTCTGGTCTGTTCTTCTAAATAAAAGCCTGCCCTCAAGGTAAAGTATTTTACCAGAGCCTAACCTACCTAGGGGAAGAAAAATTCCAACCCCAGCCACTCTAATCTTTAACATGGGGAAAGGGAAAATCTCAGCTCTAGCTTGTTTTTATGCCAACTAATGGCAGAAGAAAAAAGCCAAGTGAAGTTCATAAACCCAAGGGTACAGGCTCACTAAAAGACTGAGACTGAATCATAGGACCAATAACCCTGTCCCTCCTCCAGCACGTTACTGCCACATGGATCTAGCCTTTCTGGCCTACCTAGCATATACTAGCTGAGAGCAAATCTTCAGATGAAATACTGCAGTTCGGCCAGGTGTGGTGGCTCACGCCTATAATCCCAGCACTTTGGGAGGCTGAGGCGGGCGGATCACCGAAGGTCAGGAGTTTGAGACAAGCCTGACCAACATGGAGAAACCCCGCCTCTACTAAAAATACAAAAATTAGCTGGGCATGGAGGGAGTGGGGTGGGGGGCGCCTGTAATCCCAGCTACTCGGGAGTCTGAGACAGGAGAATTGCTTGAACCCAGGAGGTGGAGTTTGCCTTGAGCCAAGATCGTGCCATTGCACTCCAGCTTGGTGACAGAGTGAGACTCCATCTCAAAGAAAAAAAAAAAAAAGAGAGAGAAAAATAAATAGAAATAGAAACAGTGCAGTTCTTGCAGTAGAGTATCATCAGCAGGACGTGGACCTGGGAGGCACCAACAGCCTCTACTGCAACTCCTAGGGTGGTTCTCTGGATCCTTAACCCTACTGCTACAGCCTGCCAAGGTCCCCAGATGCAGCCCTTCTGCTCACACAGAGTAGAAACTGGGAGAATTGTCTCCAAGGAAATGACTTTGAGTGTAGACAAAAGCCCTAATTGGTACCTCCAGACTCCTTCAACCAAATTTGCATAGATGGAGCAGATTGCCTTTCGCAAGGAAAACATGACATCACACTGTCCAGAACAGAGCAAGACCCACAGTGTTCTGGATTTTCCTAGCAGAGCAGTGGTCACCCCAACCCAGGCAGCAGGCCCCCAGAGGAGCTCAGAAGCAAGTCCTGCCCAGCTTACGCAGAGAGAACCAGAAACAAGGGAAAAGGAGAGGAGAGCAAGGACTGAGTGGAGTGAGCACTGCCTCTTACACTTCACCCAGTGAACTCTGAAAAGCCATGTGCACAGCGTGTAAAAGTGTGTCCACATACATGTGTCCGATAAAAGATTGATTGGCAGTCAGCCTCTGCATTGCCACTCAAAATATATGCACATATTTTCATATTTAGTATCTACAACACGATGTCAATTCTTTTGTTGACATTTAGGAAAAACTATTCGTTTTTCCTCTGCTCTCACACCACAACAATTAACACAAAAGACTGGTTACCCCCAAGTAGGTGGGGATTTCTCCCCACTAGAAAGCAAGTAATTGACTCTGTAGCAGACATCAGCTGGCTATCTTCCAGTTCAATCCAAACACTATTTATCCAAAGATAGCATCAGATCCCGCATACTAAGGGCTCAGTCCCACAAAACCGCCCCCTCCTTCCCACCAGTAACAAGTCTGGGCCTCCAGATCTTCCGACCAAATGGCTCTGGGTTGGGGTTTCCATGACCCCTTTTTTTGGGTTCAATTAATTTGCTAGAGTGGTTCACAGAACTCGCGGAAACACTTACCTTTAGTGGCTTATTGTAAAGGATATTACAAAGGATACAAATGAAGAGGTGCATAGAGCGAGGTATGGGGGAAAGACTGGAGAGCCTTCCACGCACCCCTAGATATGCCACCCTCCAGGAACCTCCATGTGTTCAGCTGTAAGGAAACTCTGCACCCTGTCCTTTTGGGTTTTTATGGAAGCTTCATTACATAGTCATGCTTGACAATCGTGTAGAAATGCGATTGGACAAAAAGGATATGATCCCATACTAACAGTTTGAGTGGGGAAACCCAGTAGAGTTTGTCTGTTCAGGTTTGTCTTGACATCTCTTTGTAGCATTTCTTCCTCTAGGGTATGGGGTGGGACCCTCTCTGAAATGAGGGTCTTTTGAGCCACAATCAGATTATAGTCCTGCCTTAGGGAAGACAGGGGAATGTCAGAGAGGGAGATGCTGTTTCATAAGGCCTGCTCCTGAGGCCTAAAACCCCCTAATGTTAACAAAAAAAAAAAAAAAAACCCTAACAAAGGATATGGGATTTATAAGCCAGGAACTATAATATCACAAGTTGTTAATGTTACAAGAATACATATTGTTGCATAGGACTTAATAAAACTATTTTTGCATTGTTAATGTAGCCTATAAACATGATGATGTAGCTTGAACTTGCTCTCATGAAAGAAAAAATTTGTTTGCTTACCAGTGAGTTATACTCTGCTGTATCAGAAATATTAAGTCAAGCCATAAGAGTGGCTTCACTCTCCGTAGAAAGATTTTAGATGAGGAAGATACGGTTGTGAGAGCTGAGTCTAGCAGAGCGATCGTTTT